AACGTGCCTCGAACAGTGTAGACAAAAGGTTTCCATCAGCCATTCAGAAAGATAAAAGAATTGAAACCCCCCTGGCATTAATCCCTTCAGTTGAAGCCCCTCGTGAACCCTAAGACTTGATTATGTGGTTTATAAACTGATTCCACCCCCCCTCCCACCACCTCCTCCTTCCTCCCTGTGAAACCTTTCTTATTTTATTTAGGTTTGTGATGATAAGCCTACATGCTTACAAGGCTTCGGATTTCGCGCGCTTTGTATAGACGAAATGACCTGCATAATATTGGATCATCAGTATAATGGCGTTCGTAATGGAGATCATAGACGAGGTAATGGGATCGGATTCTGATAATGATGATGATTGTGATGATCGGTGGTGTGTGATGTGGATGGTGTAATGGTGTATTCGCGCTGGTTATCGTAAATGAATGGTTGGTGTTTGAGTAATACAACGTCGGTCGAAGAGAGGGAATGCAGAGTGTTGTTGGTTTAAAGGACTGATGTATGATTTTGTGGTCTGTTCGCATTTTATATAATGGGTGTTGTGAGTATGTATATATATATTTTTTTATACGCGTATTACACGTTAATGATGTGTAAAGCGTTGTAAGTGAAAATACATTGCGGGGAGGGGGGTTATGATAATTGCTATTATCATTATTTTCCTTTGTTGTCTTGTATTCATTATGTTATGTGAACAGTGTTACTTGATGTACATCGTTAAGTATATATTATCACCATCATCATCATCACCATATCATCACCATCATCATCAGTCATCATCATCATCATCATCATCATCATCATCATCATCATCATCATCATCACCACCATATCATCATCATCAGTCATCATCACCATCATCATCATCATCATCATCATCATCATCATCATCATCGTCACCACCACCACCACCATTCCCTCAGACTCCAACCCACAAACAATTAAACATAAATAGTTTCTTCTACCATCATCCCCCACTCCCCCCTCCCCCCACCCACCATCATGTGAATAAATCGCCGGCAGTTGAAGGCGGTTGTTCTCTTCCCCCCTTCCCTCCTCTCCCCTCCCTCCTTATCCTCCCCTCCTCTCCCCTCCTCTCCCCTCCTCTCCCTTCCTCTCCCTTCCTCTACTCTCCCCTCCCACCCCTCTCTCCCCTCCTCCCCCATCCCATCCCTCTCTCACCTCCTCTCCCCTCCTCTCCCCTCCTCTCTCCTCCCTCCCCCCTCCCCTCCTCTCCCCTCCTCTCCCTCTCTCCCCTCCTCTCCCTCTCTCCCCTCCTCTCCCTCTCTCCCCTCCTCTCCCTCCCTCCCCTCCTCTCCCTCTCTCCCCTCCTCTCCCTCTCTCCCCTCCTCTCCCCTCCTCCCCCATCCCATCCCTCTCTCCTCCCTCCGCTCCTCTCCCCTCCCATCCCTCCCTGCCATTCTTTCCCTCCTCTTGCTACCCCCCCCCCCACCTCCGACCCGCCCCTGGCATCCCCTGTGGTGGTCGTGCGGGCCGGTCATTCTGCCGAGTGAGAGGGCGAGCAAGGGAGGGAGAGGGAGAGGGAGAGGAGGAAAGGCAGGGAGAGCGAGAGGAGGAAAGGGAGGGAGAAAGAGAGGGGGAAAGGGAGGGAGGGTGAGAGGAGGAAAGGGAGGGAGAGTGAGAGGAGGAAAGGGGAGAGGGAGAGGAGGAAAGGGAGGGAGAGTGAGAGGAGGAAAGGGAGGGAGAGGGAGAGGAGGAAAGGGAGGGAGAGTGAGAGGGGGAAAGGGAGGGAGAGTGAGAGGAGGAAAGGGAGGGAGAGTGAGAGGGCGAGCAAGGGAGGGAGAGGGAGAGGGAGAGGAGGAAAGGGAGGGAGAGTGAGAGGGGGAAAGGGAGGGAGAGTGAGAAGAGGAAAGGGAGGGAGAGTGAGAAGAGGAAAGGGAGGGAGAGGGAGAGGAGGAAAGAGAGGGAGAGCGAGAGGAGGAAAGGGAGGGAGAGTGAGAGGGGGAAAGGGAGGGAGAGTGAGAAGAGGAAAGGGAGGGAGAGGGAGAGGAGGAAAGGGAGGGAGAGGGAGAGGAGGAAAGGGAGGGAGAGTGAGAGGGGGAAAGGGAGGGAGAGTGAGAAGAGGAAAGGGAGGGAGAGGGAGAGGAGGAAAGGGAGGGAGAGTGAGAGGAGCAAAGGGAGGGAGAGTGAGAGGAGGAAAGGGAGGGAGAGAGAGAGGGGGAAAGGGAGGGAGAGTGAGAGGAGCAAAGGGAGGGAGAGTGAGAGGAGGAAAGAGAGGGAGAGGGAGAGGAGGAAAGGGAGGGAGAGTGAGAGGAGGAAAGAGAGGGAGAGTGAGAGGAGCAAAGGGAGGGAGAGGGAGAGGAGGAAAGAGAGGGAGAGTGAGAGGAGCAAAGGGAGGGAAAGCGAGAGGAGGAAAGGGAGGAAGAGTGAGAGGGCGAGCAAGGGAGTGAGAGGGAGAGAGAGAGGAGGAAAGGGAGGGAGAGTGAGAGGAGGAAAGGGAAGTCGAGTTAGAGGAGGAGAGGGAGGGAGAGGAGAGGAAGGCTCAGGCGAGTAAGAGAAGGAGAAGGAGAGGATAGAGGAGAAGGAAATAAAGAAAGGTGAGGAAAGAGGGAAGTGAAGAGGGAAAGATTCAGAAGGCAAAGAGGTAGAGAAAGGGGGTAGGGATGACAATAGAGAAAAAAAATGGAGTAAAGGGAAGAGAAGAAAGACAGAAGATGGGAGAGGGAGGCAAGTAATTGGAAGAGGGGGAAACGAGAAGAGGAAGGGAGGCTGGGGAGGGGAAGAGGGAGAAAGAGATGATTGAGGAGACGAGAATGTGGAGGAAAGGGGAAGGGGAGGAGGGTTAGTAGGAGCAAGGAAGGGGAGGGGAAGGGGAGGAGAGTTAGTAGGGGCCAGGACGGGGAGGGGTGGATGAAGAGGAGGAGGACAAGTAGAAGGAGGAAAACTAATGGAGAATAAAAAGGGAGAGGTGAAAAAATGGAGGGTGCGGAGAAGGAAAAAAGACGAAAAGAAAAATAGTAAAGATCTAAGAAAGACGTGATAAAGAAGAAATGAATTAAAAGGATTGCAAAGGCAAGGGCAAGAGAAGGAAGAAGAGGGGAAAAGGAGAGGAAAGGGAAAGGGAGAGGAGGCGGAAACGAAAGGAAGGGGAGACGGAACAAATGAAGAGAGGACACAGAAAGGAAGGGGAAAGGAGACGAAAGGAAAGTGGAAAGAGGACGAAAATGAAGGGGAAAGGAAAAGAAAGGTAGAGGAACCAGAGAGGAGAGGGAAAGGGAAGGAAGAGGAAAAGAAGAGAAAAAGGAAAGGGAAGGAAGAGGAAAAGAAGAGAAAAGAGAAAAAAGGAAGAGGAAAAGAAGAGAAAAGAGAAAGAAAGGAAGAGGAAAAGAAGAGAAAAGAGAAAAGAAAGGAAGAGGAAAAGAAGAGAAAAAAGGGAAAGGAAAGAAAGAGGAAAAGGAGAGGAGAGGGGATGCTCAAGCCAGGTGCACGACCTCTAAGAACAGGCAATTAACAGGAGTGCCTTATCTGCATCGCTAATCACGCGCGGCCATTGCACTGCGCCCTTGCTTGAATAACTAGGCGAGCTGATGCTATAACTCTTGGCGAAGATACTCGATTAGTAATATATATTCGCTCATACAGACCAGCCAACATACCGCATGTCTGTATATATACATAATATTATTATTATTATTGTTATTATTATTAGTAGTATTATTTTCATTACCATTAGCAATATCATTATCATTACTATTATTGTTTTTGCTATTATTATTGTTATTATTGTTATTATTATTATTATTATTATTATTATTATTATTATTATTATTATTATTATTGTTATTATTATCAGTCATTATTATTGTTATTATTATAATTATTGTTTTTGTTGTTGTTGTTGTTGTTATTATTATTGTTATTATTATTATTACTACTACAACAACGACTACTATTATTATTACTACTACTGTTACTAGTATCATTATTATCACCATCATATTATCGTTGTTATTGCTATGATTATCGCAATCACTATCATCATAATCACCGCGTTTCTAAAAGATTTTTTCTCTCTCTCTTTCCAGATAGTCCTTGCTTGAAGTTGCCGTTGTGTCGTTCTCGAACCTGTTCATCGAGACCACCTCTCCCCCTCTCCCTCTCTTCCCTTCTCCCTCTCCCCTCTCCCCTCTCCCCCTCTCCCTCTCTCCCCTCTCCCTCTCTCCCCTCTCCCCTCCCTCTCTCCCCTCTCTCCCCTCTCCTCTCCCCTCTCTCCCCTCTCCCTCTCTCCCTCTCCCTTCCCGTCTCTTTTCTCCTCTCCCTCTCTCCCTCCCCTCTTCTCTTTCTCCCTCTCCCTCTCCCCCCACCACTCTCTCCACATCCCCCCCCTCCCTCTCCCCACCACCCTCTCCCCCACCCGCGCATCGGTCCAGCCTGTGTGTTCTTAATGACGTCCAGTAAGCTAGTGTTCTTAGGTTTTACGGCTGTCATAATTCTTTAGTGGCCTTCGTTTAATTATTTATTTATTTGCCATTGTTGTATTTGTTGTTATTGTTGTCGTTCTTCGTTTGATGATAATGAGGATGGTGGTAAGGATAATAATAATGATAACGATAACTATTATTACTATTATTATTGTTATTATTATTACTATTATTATTATAACTTTTGTTATTATTATTGTAATTATTATCATCATTGTTATTATCGTAATTATTACCAGAGTAATTTTAATGCAGTTATTATTTTGTAGCAGTAGCAGTCGTATTATCATCATGATAATTATTACTATTAGTATTACTACTGCTGTGTCTTTTGTGACCTTGATGATTGCAATGTAACTTTTAAAAAAAGCAAGTGAACAGCCAAGATATAAAAAAAAAGTTGTACGTGAAAAAAATGACGGTTGAAAAAAATTAAGGTCGTGTTTTTTTTCTTTTTTTTTGTTGCTTTTCTGGATAAGTGTTCGATATAGTACGTTGCATTATGCCTGTGGCTTAGTGACAGTGTTTTTATACTCCTTTTCTATTTTTATGTTGCAGTTTTATTTCCGAAACTCGCAGAAATAAAATCGTTTTGAGGAATATGTGCCTTTAATCGAGATAAAAGGAAAATATTATCGTGTTCATGAATTGCTTATCATGAGGCTGATGGTGGTGAGGACAGAGCCAAGACGCAGACGCAGGACTGAGGGCGCGCACGATGCCCCTGAGACGCGCCTACAGGAACAGCTGATCCTCCGGGAAACGAATAGACGCCCAGTGTCCTCCTCGAAGTCTCCCCTCCTCCAGTAATGGCGTCGGTCGTGCTCGAGCCTGTCGGGGAGAGGGTCATGTCCCCCCTGCCCCCTGCCACCATCGACGACGACCCCCCCGCCCCATCGTGCCTCGCCCCCCTCCCCGACGACGAGGACGACGACGACGACGGCGGCGACGGGCGGGCCAAGGGCGACGACGCGCTCGACGCCCCGGACACGTGCGTGCTCACCTCCACCATCAAGGAGGTGGAGACGCGCGCGCGGGCGGGGCTCGGCCATCTCTCCGACTTCGACAGCGACGTCGACCTCCTGAGCGTGATGAAGAAGAAGAAGGAGCCGCCGCCGCCGCCCGAGGACGAGATGTTCGACGGCGAGGAGTGCGAGAGCACCGAGGACGAGGAGTTCACCGTGCACTTCGCCCACACCGGCAGGAAGACGTGTGAGTACCCTCGCCTCATTCTGGTTCATAATGTGTGTATGTAGGCTTATGTAGGATTGTATTTATATGTGTGCACGTATGTATTTTTACATGTGTGTTCATCCATGTGCATACCGTTTGTATGTATGCTTGGGCGGTGTACGTATGTTTCTTTTTTTTCGAAATGCTATATCTATTATTCACATGATTTTCGAAGCAAAATTCAGAATATGCTTCAATGAACCTTCCACTGTGATTGTTTATAAATAGACAGAGTAATAAATAGACAACGCAATTTATCTATGAATATTTAAATAAATATACAATGCGATGTACTTGTGAGCGTTCACAGACAAAAACAAAATCAGGACATCAAAACAAAACAAAAACTAAAAATAAAAGAACGTGTTCCGAAAAGAAAAGAAAAGAAAAGAAAAACCAAAGGCAAAATTGAATCTCATTTTCGAAGCGGAAATGAGCAAGGAACGAGGAGGTCTTGCGATGCCCGCCTGACCCGAGTCGGAGGCGTCGGGTATCGGGTGTGATCGGTCGGGACGCGATCGGTGACGTGGAGTCTCCGTTGCGGTCGGGGTTCTTCGTTTTCATTTGTAATTATTTTTTGCGTTGACAGCGGCATACGTCAACAGCGTAATAAGATACACTAGGAGGGTCACGAGGGGGTGGGAGGTCGTGAGAGGAGGGGGAGGGAACGGGGGAAGGGAGGGAGGGAGAAGAAAGAAAGGAAAGAGAAGAAGGAGAAGAGAGAGAAGAGGGGGTGGTGGTTGTTAGGAGGTTCGGGGAGAGAGGGAAGGGGGAGGGGGGGAGGAGGAGGTGCTTTGTGATGCGGAAATACATTAAATGACTTTTCCGCGTTGATGCTTCTCGGGTTTGCGCGCGAGAGAAGACGACCCGCCAGGCATCGTGAGGTTACGTACGTATCAGATTTTCTCGTTGGGTAACTGAAATCGCCAGATGTAATGATAGCTTCGTTATTTATAGGAACCGAAGCTTCCCTTTTTGGCGAAAGTTCTTCCAGATGCTTTCGCGGATATTGATATAGCTCGTTAGAAAAAGGAGAAAGGAAAGACACAGAATTAGCTTTTTTATTAGTCGGCGATTTTGAGACTCGTGTCTAGGTCTCTCTAATTCACGCGCTTGTTTATTTAATTTCTCATTTAGCCACTTTATGTCAACAACTTCATAGTTTCGTTCAGTCATACCAGATTTCACAACTGACTCATTCATTTGCGAAACCTTTAGCGCAATCTTCATTTTACATACGAATTTTATTTCGAGAGCAAACGCGCATACGCTCGTATCCCAGTAGAATAAAACCCAGAATATCACAAAGAAAAACAAAACAAAAACAAAAAAGAAGAGATGAAAAGGAAGATAATTGCTTGATCTCCCTAAGTGTAAAATTGAAAGGGTATTCAGTGACTTTAACCGGGGTTAGAAAATAATATATGTAGATGAACAAGAAAACACTTACGCTCGTATCCCAACATCAGGAAAGCACACTTAAACACAAATCAGTAAAAAAAAATGATAATGATAAAAATGATAAAAATAAAAAGTAAGAATGGGTCAGGATGAATGACTATCCAGCATTCAGCCAGTGATATTACAGATTAGAAAAAAAAAAAAAAAAAAAAAAAACGCACATACGATGCACTCGTATCCCAACAACAACAAAACTCACAAAAAAAAACAATCAATAAGAAAAATGACTATTATAAAAAAAATATGAATAATAAAAGGAAAAACTTGATCTTCCGTATTAGAAGAATGAGTCGAGATGAATGAATATCCAGTATCTTTTGGCCAGCTGTCGGTATAAGTAACCGAAAACAGCGACGGCGAGTTTTGAACGTCTCGCCTCTTGCCTGCATCCGCGTTTAAGCCTCAAGCAGCGGGTTCGGTTCCCGCTAAGAGCAAGTGTGCGTCCTCATAACTCGGTCTTTATGGTGGTTATTATTATTATTATGTTTTTTTAATTATTTTTACTTATTATTTTGTTTTTTTTTATTATTACTATTATTTATTATTATGTTTTTTTATTATTATTGTTATTTATTATGTTTTTTTTACTTATTAATATTATTATTTTATTTTTTTATTATTGTTTTGTTATTATTATTGTTATTTCTTGTATTGTAATTTCTTTTGGTCTTTCGTAATATGGTTAGAGATTTTTGGTCTTTCATAACACGGTATTCATGATGGTGTTTATTTATTTATGGTGATTTGGTCTTTCATAATACGTGTTCATGATAGCAGTCTGTATTTTTTTAGGATTCCATTGTTATTTTCAGTGGTTAACTTTATAACTCTCATAACACGGTCTTTATGATATTTTATTGCATTTCGGTCTTTCATAATTCGGTCTTAGTTGCGTATGACGTATCTTTGCTGAAATACCGTTTGTGATGCGTATTATTATTCATTAGTAATACAAGTAGTAAAGAAAATTAGATTACTTCTATTTTTTTTATTAATGCGAACTTTATATTAATACTGTGACCTGCTTGCCTCTTTAACATCATTTGTACCACACAAACCACTTCAACTCTCACTTGACACAATCACAAAGTAATTATATATATTTTTTGTATAATACATGAATTGTAACACACCGCAAAATAAAACTGTAGTGTTCGACAGCCCCAGGGTCATCGAGTGCCCAGTTGAAAGAGAGAGAGAGAGAGCGAGAGAGAGAGAGAGAGAGAGAGAGAGAGAGAGAGAGAGAGAGAGAGAGAGAGAGAGAGAGAGAGAGAGAGAGAGAGAGAGAGAGCGAGAGAGAGAGAGAGAGAGAGAGAGAGAGAGAGAAAGGGAGAGAGAGAGAGAGAAAGGGAGAGAGAGAGAGAGAGAGCGAGAGAGAGAGAGCGAGAGAGAGAGAGCGAGAGAGAGAGAGCGAGAGAGAGAGAGCGAGAGAGAGAGAGCGAGAGAGAGAGAGCGAGAGAGAGAGAGCGAGAGAGAGAGAGCGAGAGAGAGAGAGCGAGAGAGAGAGAGAGCGAGAGAGAGAGAGAGAGCGAGAGAGAGAGAGCGAGAGAGAGAGAGCGAGAGAGAGAGAGAGAGAGAGAGAGAGAAGCGAGAGAGAGAGCGAGAGAGAGCGGAGAGAGAGAGAGAGAGAGAGAGAGAGAGCGAGAGAGAGAGAGAGAGAGAGAGAGAGAAGAGAGAGAGAGGAGAGAGAGAGAGAGAGAGAGGGAGCGAGTGAGAGAGAGATAGAAAGAGAGAAAGAATGAAAAAAAATACAAAAAAATACTGACTTAGCACATTTTGCTGTTTGCGGATACGTAAATGGAATGTGAGGCGAACAATTTCTCTCGTCGTAATGACTCGTTGTCATTGTTGTAGTTATCGCTATTTGAGATGTTCGTGGAAGAGGGAGGGAGGGGGAGAGGGCGGGGAAGGGGAGATAGATAGAGACAGGGAAGGAGAGGGAGAGGAAGAGGGAGGGAGGGAAGGAGGGAGAGGGAGGAAGGGAGGGAGGGAGAGGTGAGGGGAGATGGAGAAGGTAAAGTAAGGTAAAGTGAGGGAGAATGAGAGAGAGAGAGAGAGAGGAGAGAGAGAGAGAGAGAGAGAGAGAGAGAGAGAGAGAGAGAGAGAGAGAGAGAGAGAGAGAGAGAGAGAGAGAGAGAGAGAGAGAGGAAGGGTGGGAGGGACAAACAGACAGACGGGCAAACAAACAGAGCCAGAAGAAAGAAGAAGAGGAAGAGAAAAAACAAGGGAGAAAGAAAAGACAACGAGGAAGAAAAGCAAGTGATGAAAACACGACAAAGAGCAACGACTTGGGGGGGGGGGGGAGAGATGCGGTCGTTCACGTGAGAAGCGACCGCACGAGGACCTTGCTCGTGGCTCTTGTGACTGACTTACCGAAATGAGAAAAGCGAAAATGAATGAGAGAGAGAGAGGGAGAGAGACAGAGACAGAGACAGAGACAGAGACAGAGACAGAGACAGAGACAGAGAGACAGAGAGAGGAGAGGGAAAGAGTTAGGGGGACAGGGATAGAGAAGGAGAAAGAGGGGGGCAGGGAAGGAGAAAGAGAGAGAGAGAGAGAGAGAGGGAGAGAGATAAAAATCTACACTTTCTTCTCGTATTTCTAAACAGAGAATAAAAAGCGAATGGTGGGCGTGTTCTTGTGTGAGCACGCCCCTTTTTTCTTTTCCGAAAGATTAACTCGGACTGAGGCGATGGAGTGGCTGAGTGAGTGCATCTTTCCTCTCCCCCTACCCTCATCTCTCTCTTCCCCTATCTCTCCCTCCCCCCCCTCCCCTCCCCTCCCCTTCCCTCCCCTCCCCTCCCCGCCCCCTCCCATCTTCCTCCCGACGTAATGAGCGAAAATGGCGATGACTGGTTAGTACAGCGTAACGGTAAACTGATTACCATAGCCTGTGGGGTCGAGAGGAAATAACTGGAGGAGAAGACTTAATATCTTCCGACTCACGCGGGCCTTTGACATCAAGGGGCGATTCGGGTCGGGTTGTCGGGTGGTCGGGTGGTCGGGTTATCGGGTGGTCGGGTTATCGGGTGGTCGGGTTATCGGGTGGTCGCGTTGTCGGGTGGTTGGGTGGTTGGGATGGAAATGCCTCGCGGGGATAGACTGACTGTTGAGGGCTGAGGGTTCAGGTGGTGAGGGAGAGAGAGAGAGTGAGTGAGTGAGTGAGTGAGTGAGTGAGTGAGTGAGTGAGTGAGAGAGAGACAGAGAGATAGATAGATAGATAGATAGATAGATAGAGAGAGAGAGAGAGAGAGAGAGAGAGAGTGACAGAAGGAGAGGGAGAGAGAGAAATTGGGGGGGGAGAGGGGGGAAAGAGAAAAGGAGAGAGAGAGAGAAAAGGAGAGAGTGAGAGAAAAGGAGAGAGGGAGAGAAAATGAGAGAGAGAGAGAGAGAGAAAAGGAGAGAGAGAGAGGGGGGGAGAGAGAAAAGGAGAGAGAGAGAGAGAAAAGGAGAGAGTGAGAGAAAAGGAGAGAGTGAGAGAAAAGGAGAGAGTGAGAGAAAATGAGAGAGAGAGAGAG